GCTCTGCTTGTCTTTCGTCTGGAGTTTCTCGTCCGTGGAAGGGTCGGTAAAGGTAAGGAGTTTGCTTTTGGTTGTGGTTCTCTGCCAGCTTCAGGAGGAAGCAAAAGGAAGTTCTTGTAAGGGCTTTTCCGCCTAGCCGTGGGGGCTAAAGGAGAGTCACGTTTTGTAGTGCAATACTTGGAGGGTGTCTCCAAGGAGTGGACGTAGGTCGAGTCGACCGAACCACTACAAATCTTGTGTTCTTATTTTTGTTTCCGCACTTTTTAATTCCGCATTAATTTCTTGTGGTGTGATTTGGTTTGTGATTTTCTTTCTTTGTCTTAAGAATTTTTAAATACCAATTCACCCCCCCTCTTGGTTAGCTTGGGACTAAGTTCATAGGGCTTAACATCCCGAACGAACTTTCACGAACCCGACCCGTTTTTTAAACGGGTCAATTTCTGGAACCCAAACCCGACCCGTTTTGAAATCGGGTCGGGTTCAACCCAGATTTTCCGGGTCGGGTTATCGTGTCGTGTCAAATATTGACACCCCTACCCATGATATATGCATCATCTTACCCCACCTGAGAATTGTCCAAGACATTTTGGATGATTACTCGAGACTAAGCCTAATTGTTATTGACAAAACTTAGCCTACTTATATTCGTTCTTTGTGTACTCATCTCAACAAAAGCTTGAGATTGAATCAGCCTACTCAACAATTCTCTGATTTGATGAGAAGTCTGTAACTAAGTCGCACTATTTAGCTTCACCTGAGACCTAGTGGACCTTTGCCTGAGGATTATTCGACACCTTTTAGAAGCCTATTTGGCACCTCAAACTTTGCCCAAATGTTGACCCGAGAAAAGTAAAGGGATTATCTTTGATGACATGGAGAATACTATGTTATGAGGAGGAATTATACAAATTACTTTAAAAGTTCAAAGCCTTAAGGACATTTTGATAATTCTTCATTAAGGCCCAATTTTTTAATTCAATTAGACCAGTCAACGAGCACATAATATAGTGAAATAGGTGTTGGATTATTCTACTGATTTGAGGCATCACATAGATGAGTGATTAGAGCTACCTCCCTCTTATAATCGTCACTTGCATGTACTACTATAAACAAGGGAGTTTTATTTTTGGCATTAGAGATAGACAAAGAGATGGACGCCATAATAATAATAATAATAAATGCCTAAGAAGATAATTTTGAGTGAAGACCTCTTCTACAATATATAGATATATCATAAGACATTGAAAGGTTGAGTTCTTACTCATTTCTTTTGCATTTTCATAGAGAATTTTATGAGAAATATTACTTTATATTTAATGAAATTTTGCATACTCTCCTAGTTGTTAGTTTTCAATGAAAAAGACTTAATATTATATTACTATACCACATATCATGTACTTCTCCATAAATTTGATAGCCAATCATCTATGCCACCTCACACCATAGATATGTATCCTTATTGACCAAACAATATTAGGCTCATCTAGGTGATTTTCTTTTATTGTTTTGTATTTTATTTGTTTGTAGTGTTAGTTTTGTTTCTTCTAGGCGGATCCTCTATTTGGTGCTCTCAATGAGGAATTGATTTAGGCTAATCTTGTATACTCGTACATGCCGATATATATCTCACAACTACATAACAAGTTTAGGTAGAGGAACTCAGACCTAATTAGTTCTAGCGACAAGAGCTTAGCCAAAGCAATTACTTGATCTCCACAGGTACTCTTCAATTGAGGAGCGTAGCTCGTTCAGATCAATTAAGTCAAAGAGTCATCCCCAATAGGAGCCACAGGGAACTTGTATAAATCCAGTCAAGCTCTTAAAACTCTTCTTATCAGTGGGTAATAGTCTCCGAAAGCTACTTGTCCTCGATCAGACCGACAAGTTGCTGCTAATACTATACAACCTAGCTACAACCTACAACGAATGTGCATCTAAAAAGGTAAAGAGTCCAATCTTCTAGACTCAGCCAACTCTTAGCTCACAATTATTATGATCCGAAGGGACTCGCCCTAGCACTTAAAGGCCTAAGAATTGCACACAGAGATTCGACAGTATGCCCAGAAGACTCAACATACCAACTTGCCCACATATACTTGCCTAGGTGACTCGCCTTGAAACTGAGAACTAGATCATAAACATAGAACTGCATGGATACCTATCAAGCCATCACATATGTCATATACAATCAATAATGACCCGCAATTAATTTTGTACTTTTAAAATCTTTTTTTATATAGTTTTCTCTATAGCCTTCTTATCCCTATAAATAAAGGGTGGAGAGACGTACTTTGAACCTTTTTGAACATTATTGATCCTTTAGAATGTCCCGGAGACCTTAGGGTTTTAGTTCTTCCCTCATATTTCTCAAGTAAGGGGTTGCTTGCTTGTAGGGTTGGATATCATCTACAGATAAATTTGGATCCAATACATCTATTTCATCTTCATTATGAAAGAATATTTGTAGAATGACAAGAAAAACAAACAATTAATCAATTTACTACACCAATTAATTTACTATACCAATTACCAGGCATAAACAAAATTTCTGATAAGAATCAGCATACTGTACATGATGCGGCCACTTCACATTAAAAGTTGACATATAAAGATCAACTACTAATTCGTCTAGAATGACACCATCATCATCATTGTCTCATTGTAAAGCTGAAACTTTACTAATTTCTTAACTTTGCGACACAAATAGCAACACATTATGAATCCAAATAAGGTGTACAAAAATGCGGACTTCAGGGCACTAAGGCTTCTAATCACCAGAAATCCTTACAAGAACATAAGCCACCACAAAAATGGTGAAATCGCTTCACATCTCTCACTATAATTTCTCTTCCTGATATTTTGGATGCAAGTTTCAGAAAAGTGTGGCAATCCCCACAAACTCTAATATTCTTATTTATCCTAATAGATACACCTGGAGGCAAGCTTATTAGACCAAAAGCAAATGCCAATTTCTCACTATGCTGACCAAGTAGTTCCTCCTTTTGCTCTTCAGCAACATCATGATGATCACAGTCACTTCGTGTTTTATAAGCCAACTTCTTCATTTCCTTCCTTATATCCTCCAATTTCATATATATCTCAGAAATCATTGGATGGTTATAGTCCCCAACAACAAAAACATAAACCCGATCCCTCACTTCAATCCAACTCTTTCCTTTCTCCTTTTTTACACCATTATCTTTCAAATGCTTTCTCATAACAGCAACTTGCTCCCATTGTTTTCTTGCGGCATATAAATTTGAGAGCAGCACATGGTTTCCAGCATTTTCAGGCTCAATCTCAAAAAGGTGTTCTGCTGCAACCTTGGCCAGTTGGAGGTTACCGTGAGTCCTGCATGAACTGAGTAAAGAGCCCCAAATGGATGCAGTGGGAGCAAATGGCATGTTTTCAATCAATTCCCATGCTTCGTCAATAAATCCAGATCGCCCAAGAACATCAACCATGCAAGAATAGTGAAGAACATTAGGTTGCAATTTATCATCTTCAGTCATAAGTTTGAAATAATAGCGGCCACATTCAACCAAGCCAGCATGGCTACAAGCGGACAAAACTGATACATAAGTTACTTCATTTGGTGAAATATCCATATTCTTCATCTTTTCAAGAAGTATCATAGTTTCGAGACATCGAGCATGTCTAGAGAATCCTGCAATCATTACATTCCACATGACAATGTTCTTCTCTTCCATGACTGAAAATACATGCCAAGCTTCCTTTATATGGCCACATTTAGCATAGAGATCTATGAGAGCAGCGACCACAAATATATCTAAATCAAAACCAGTTCTAACAACAACAGAATGTAATTGAGTTCCTTCAATAGTTGCAGCCAAGGCAGTGCAGGCACTCAGAGCAGCAGAAAGAGTGAACTTTGTCCATTCCAAATCCATTTGCTGAGATTTCAAAATCAAAACCAAGGCCTCCTCATGAAGATCATTCTGAACATAACCCGAAACCATTGAGCTCCAAGTGACTGAAGATTTTTCAGGCAAATGATAAAAAACCCGGCACGAATCATCAATCATATTGCTCTTGGCATACACATCAATCATTGCAGTTCCAACAAACACGTTAGAATCTCTTGCTATTTTTAGAGCCAAACAATGCAACTGCCTGCACTCATAAACTGCCATTTTTTCTGCACAGGCACATAGAACGCTCGACAAAGTAAATTCACTCAGCACCAATCCTTGACGTAAAATTTGCAGAAAAAGATTTAGTGATTCTACATACTCTCCATGGTTGTTATGGCACGCAATCATAGTGTTCCAAGAGACAATAGTTCTCACCGGCATTAAATCAAACTGCTTCCGAGCATAATCAACCAGGCCACATTTGGAGTAGAAGTTGATTACGATGTTAGAAGTGAGGGTCTCGGTCTGGACACCAGAAAGAATTGCCAATCCATGACAGACTTTTCCTAACGAAATATATTTTTCTCTTGCACATATTTGCAGGAGATGTTGCAGAGATGGAATGGTGACAGGGTAGTGGTTACAGGTATGAAGTTTCCCTATATTTGAAATCTTGAGAATCACAGAATAGAAATTATATTCAAGTTGATGAGCATTGAGCAAAACAAAACCAAAAAGTTAACTAAGGGGATGGATGAAAAAGTGCAAGGGATATGTACCTTTAGGGAATAACGGAAGAAAAGATTGCGAGAGTTTTCAAAATTTCAGGCCGTTGAACAAACGGTTCAATTCGCTTTTCACAGTCGCTTGCAAAATGTTATTTTTTAGACATAAATACAATTTTGTCAAACAATTTCCAGTAAAAATATAAAAAAGAAAAGTTTCTGTTGATAATGTTATCTCAGTAAGGCACTGTTTCCCTTCATTTTTATCAACTTAGGCTGCGAATTTAATACTTCAAAACAAACAAAGACTTGGAACAAGTCTTCTATTTCTTACTAAGGGGCTGTTTGGTATCGGATTTATCGTGGGATTTAAGTCGGATTAACGCTAAATCCAGCCAAACGGTTTTTGTGCGCGCGTTAAATCCCGGGATTTTATAAATCCCGAACTTAGCCGAAGAAGAGCGCGAAAGGGAGAAAGTTACCTTCACAGCCAGCGAGCTCCCGTTCTTGCTTCCGAACAAAATGTCGTATCTTCCGATCCGACAGCAAGGGAAAGTCGTCGAAGGAGCGAAGTCTAACAGCCACGAAGGAGCCGAAGAAGCGACGCGTGCAATCTCTACACCTCTGCAAAGCAACGAAGCCGAACAGCGACGAAAAAGAGAATATGAAATGCAAAACCCTCGACGCCTGTAAGGTATTATTGATTAACTTAATTAATATAAAATAAATTATTAATAATGAATTAAATTAATTAAATAATTAATTGTATAATTAGTGCATAAATTAATTATATAATTTAACTTAATTGCATAATTAGTAATTAAATATTAATATAATTATCTTAATTAGTATAACTTAAAATCCATATTATTAAATATATAATTAATAGTATATATAATAATTAAATTCATAACACATTAAAATTTTAATTATAATCTTTTTAATCTATAATTATCTTCTTCACATTTAAATCTCTAACTATCATAAATCCTGAAATATATTTGATACATAGTCAAAAAATTATCTTGATCGGGCACGAATCTCGATGCAAAATTGAGTTGGAAACGTCTAAAATTAATTCGGAGACCATCTCAACTCCGAGCAACAAACTTATAGTCAAACTGAGCGTCTCGGAAATATGAATCCAATGACACCAAATTCGACTCAATCCGAGCCCAAATGAGCTCAAATCAAGGACCCGTAGCGCTGTTGAAAGCTTCGTAACACTGTTTGAGTTTTCAAACGATTTCCAAATATGACGAGCTTATAGTCGAATCGAGCGGCTCGACGAGACGAATTCAACGAGCCCAAGATTACTGAATTCTGAAATCATTAAGGCCTCCAAATTACTGATGAACGATCCATGATCAAGGGGTTCAATATCGGCCATCCATCCAACCACTCCCCATTTATCCTTGATCTCTCGCCTATTTACAGGCCATGCCACTCCATAAAATCTATAAATATACCCCTCATTTCTCTTGAAAGGGGACCCCAAGCAAGAAGAGAAGGAAGAAGCTCCTCCTCGACCACCGTCGGAACCTCGCCGAACCACCGCCGGAGCCTCGTCGGACCACTGCAGGAGACTCGTCGGACCACCGCCAGAACCTTGCCGGACCATCGCCGGAGCTTCATTGGATCACCACCTGAGGCCCTCACTTTCGCCTGAGGCCCTCACCTCTGCCAGAGGCCCTCGCCCTCACCTTCGTCAGAGGCCATCACCTTCGCCAGAGCCCCTCACCATCACGAGAGGCCCTCACCTTCGTCAAACCATCACCTAAGGCCCGAAGTTCCGCCAAACCATCACCTGACACCCAGACTTCTATCGTACAATTGTTATTTGTAATCTGATCGCCCTCAGAGGCGAATCAACCCATTGTAACCGACTTATATTCTAGTGGAACCATTTTCAACTGGGCTATGCCTCGTGATTTTTCCCCTTTCAAGGATTTTCCATGTAAAAAATCTTGTGTTCTCTGTGTGTGGGCTGTATATCTGTGCAAAGCTAAGACGTATAATTAAAACTCTATCGTCGCGTATATTTAAGTCCGCAACAATATTACCAAACAGTTTATCAGGATTTAACATTTGACATACCAAACAATTTTCAAAATTTAACACATTTCGAATTTACTAAATCTGGATTTACAGGAAATACTGAATTGCACTAAAATTAAATCCCAATTGTTGCCAAACAGCCCCCTAAATATTCCTTATAAAACCTTAACTGATTCTAAACAAAAGCAATTCTGTACTTATTAATTAATTAAAGAGGTACATTCAAACTTCTATAGTTCAGTAGCATATATATATATAAAATAATCATATCACATACAGCTACATCAGATTTTAATCATTTCCCGAGCTATCATCTTCCCAATTATAATATCATTGGGGATAAAGAGAGACTTCATTAGTATAGTTTTTAAATTTGATATGAAATATAGCCAAAATAAAGTTTTTATGTTAAATTTAAAATATTATATTTGATTAGTTAAAGAATAGCCATAACATTTTTAATTATGATAATTTGTTAGTAAAATGAAGCTATAAAATTAGTCACATAAATTATTTATTAAAGACATCAATGAGTGTAATTAGACATAAAATTTAATGGTTTTGCCTTTCAATAAAAGATCATTATATTTCAGCCTAATTAAAGTGAGATGACAAGCTAAAATAAAATAATGAGGTGTCTAGGCATAGAATATTTTATTTAAAGGATAATAATTTGAATCATCATAAAATATTAATAAAATCAACTGCAATTATAATTTTGCCCACATGAAGATTATAATTGTATACCCTGAAGGGTGGATCTGAGCAAGTCGTGAAAATCGAATAGGCTCGCTAAAGAATTAAAAGATATTATATGAACATATTCAACATGAGCTCGAATAAACATGGTACTTATGCTGGTTAGGAGATGTTTGCCTAAAACAAACTAACCCTAAACCCTAGCCAGGAGACATCAATCTTATATGCACTCTCTCTTAACAACTTACATGACTAAGGCACTCGCCTAAAAAAAACTCACCTAATTGAGTCACTTGCCTTAAAAAAATTGCCTAATTACCACTAATCTTAGAAAAATTATCTTTGAATTCTGAGACGTTCATCCACCTAACCATTGTGACTTCACCCTTACGACTAATGCCTCAGGTAGTAGATATCTTTAATGGAGAAACATGCTAAAGGCACTGCCAAAAGGTACTCATTGAAGGTAATAGTCAAAGGTACACGTCGAAGGTGTCCTAGGGCCACATTAGAGATAGTTGTCCATCTATTAATATCAAGGTCATGCCCATGTATTTGTATGTATCAGTCAAAATAAGTATTACTTTTTATTTCTCGTTGTAGTCCCTTATGACTTTTTTTGTGGCATGTTAACTACTATTTATAAAGTGGATATAGAAGTCTAAGACTTTTCCTTCTCACTCACTTACCACTTCCTTTTTTTTAAATTTAAAATAGTCTAACTACTATTATTGTTAGTATGGACAATGTGTTGTCCACAAAAAAATTGGACCCAACATCCTTTTAGGTGTGATTAGCATGGATTAATGCAATTGACCATAAGCCAAGAACTATGGAAAGAAAAGTAGTAAGTTGGAGAAAAGCCCATGAATATGGAGAGTCAATACTCATCATAAACATGCAAGTTGCCCTTCAATAAATGCTTTGATAACTTGTCACTTTGTAATTAATTCCTCTAAGATTCGAACTCATAAAGCGAAAATCTAACTTAGTCAAAGTCATCAAAAGAGAAAGTTCAACAACCTAATATATCTTAACTTGCAAATTGAGTAAACTTTTTTTCTCTACTAGAAATTTTTTCTCATTTGTACGTTTCCTTCATTCTTTAAATTTGACAAAAACTCTTACTGTTAGAGAAACCCAACCTAAAAGCTAATGAACCGACTATTAGGTTTGGAGTTGATTGAGGCCAAATTAGAAAGTTGACACATTAATAACTTAGGTCAATATTCGAGAAACTCATTTCCTAAGTGAAATTTATTTATGCAAGAAAATGCTTCACTAACTTAAACTTGGGAATGAGGTGATCCCAACTTAGGATTAAGTTTGAAAGATGCAAAATTTATACTAATTGGAAATCTAACTGTTTCTTGGTGACATAACATAACGCTACCAAGTAGATGAAAAATATGTACTTCATGAAATTGTATTTAACACTTAAGCAAGAGCAAAAAATTTATTTTAAATAGGAAAATATATCTAATATGTTTTGATAAATGCCAAATACTCTCAGGCATATATGTGAGTGAAAATATAGCCTATTTGACAAAAAGAAAATGTATTGATGAAAATATTAAAAGATAATCCGTGTCACAAAGTTGTGACATTTTAATCTGAACAAACCATTTGGATATATATATATTTTATGAAATAAAATAATCAATGCATTTATTTGATTTTAAGTGGTATAAGTCATATATAATTTAAATTTTCTTATAATATATTTTATCATTTATGACTTGCCCGTTTAAAAAATAATAAGCACGCATCTCGGTGCAGATGGTCAATGGTTGTGGCCAAAAGCAACAAAATTTAACATTTCTATGGCCCGAGAAAGAAGGCACTGCCTTGAAGCATTTAATATCTAGCTTCGTCTCCGCCGCTGTTCCTCTTAGATCACCTTCGTCTTCTTATCCCCAATTCCCCTCCTCTTCGTTTGGATCTCTTTCTTCCTCTTACCATCTGTACCCTTCTCTCCCGAATCTGAAGCCCTAAGTGAGAGAAAGAGGAGGGGCTTGGGGATGGGAACTGAAGAGTCGACGCTAGATATAACGGAGCCACTGCTACCTCCGTCGAGGGCGGAAGCAGGCCAAGACCTCGCCGATGGTTACGAGATGCTCCCACACTGGAAAGAACAGATAACGCTGAGGGGCTTGGTCGTAAGTGCTTTGCTTGGCTGCCTGTTCTGCATTATAACCCACAAACTCAACCTTACTGTCGGCGTAATTCCGTCTCTAAATGTTGCTGCTGGTTTGCTGGGCTTCTTCTTCGTGAGGAGCTGGACGGGGATTCTTGAGAATATCGGTTTCCGGGTTGCGCCATTCACGCGGCAGGAAAATACCGTCATCCAGACTTGTGTGGTTGCTTGCTATGGATTGGCCTTCAGCGGTGAGCTCAGTTTTCCTTGTTTAGATGGTTAATTTTTTTTTTTTTTTGGGCCATTTGACATTTATTTTGTTTTATGGCTGTTAATTTGCTGCTATAGCATTGAAAGGGAATATATCTACGTTCTATTTGAAATATTCTCGATTTTGTTTTATTAAAAGTGGAAATTAAATTTCATGTAATTGTTGATGATGTTCTTGTGGCTGCATGATCTTTCGTAGAAAACTTGCTTTTTCTTTGTTTGTTATATGAAATCTCAATCTTTTAGATACCCTTATTATAAGATGTTTCGTGTCGGATTGCTTAAGTACTTATGTAATGCAACATAAAGTTCCTAAACCTTTTTGGAGAACACTAGGTGTGCAAATAATCACTTCATCATTATGTGAGCTAGAAATACTAGAAAAAATAAAGAAAACATAAAGTAGGAAATCTTGTCTGCATCATTATGTGAGCTTGATTCTCAGCAGGATAATTGGTGTCCACGATTACAACTTGAGTTTAATCATTAACATGTCTACTTTCTTTTCTACACCTTTTAAATAAAAATTTCATTATTTATCTCGGTGAAATCAATCAAGTTGTACCCAGTTATTTTTAAAAAAATGCATGTTAGTTTGTTCTACAAGAACCATTTAGTTTCATGGTCATGATTTATAAAAGTTAGATATGCCATTGGTTTCTTTCGACTTCATGTTACTCAGCTCTACAATAAACATTTAGTTTGTTATTCATGATTTAAAAAAATTCAAGTTGGAATTTATTTTTTCTTTATCATGACATGTCGGAGTTCATTTTTAATAATTTTCATTCACAGGGGGTTTTGGCTCTTATATGCTTTCTATGAATCAAAGGACCTATGAACTCATAGGAAAGGATTATCCTGGTAACAGGCCAGAGGATGTGAAAAATCCTTCCCTGGGGTGGATGATAGGTTTCATGTTTGTTGTTAGCTTTCTAGGACTCTTCAGTCTTGTTGCACTTCGAAAGGTACTTCCTGTTCTAATCATAATGCATTTTGGTACTTTTTTGTGTTGATTTGCTGTATATAACATTGCACAACATGCCTCATACGGACATAAATTTAAATCGGAGAAAACTTGGTGTTTTTTACTTTCATCCTTAATTTCTGCTATAAACTTACAATAGATTTCTTAGTTTCAAAATATTTATGCCAAGCATTTTTCTATTGCCTTATTTGATATGATCAATTTATTTAGCATTCAAAGTGTTTTGGAAATAGTTTGGAGGCTATCCTGTCGATGCAATTATATTGAAAGGAAATTTACCATTATTTTGTATTCAACTAAAAGCGGGAAATTTTTTAACTTTATTTTGCATATACCTTACTTGATTACTTTTACCTCCATTTGATACTCATCAACAACAAATAGATGACTGGAACTCAAGAATCTTATGAAACCATATCGTATAGCACAACACATAAACAACTACTTTAAAAATAACACAAATAATAAGAAACTTTAATTATTTATTATATTTCAAATAAATATTACATAATAGAACATTTAACCTACATGAGAGTTAAAAAAAACAACAACAATATCAAGCCTTTAGCCCTCTACTCGGGGTCGACTACATGAATTCCTTTTCTCTAATATATTCTTTTAAGAGTCAAATTCTCATTTAAATCTATTAAAAAAGGTCATTTATAATATTTTCTAACCAGTTTTTTTAGGTTTATCTCTACCTTTCTTAACATAAGCCCAATCTAATACATCTACTCTCCTAACCGGGTCATTAGAAGGTTGACATTTTATGTGACCAAAACGACTTTTTATGTGACCAAACCATATAAGGCGACTCTCTCTAGTCTTATTTTCCATTGGAACTACTCCAGTATTGTCATGTATATGCTCGTTTCACATTCTATCTTGAAGAGCAAAGACACTCATCCACCTGAGCATCCTCATTTCTACAACACTTAACTTAATTTTATGCTTCTCTTTTAATGGCCAACATTCCGTGCCATAAAGCATTGCTGGTCTCACCATCATCTTATAGAGTTTTCCCTTAAGTTTGAGAGGTACTTCTCTACCGGACAATAGGCTTAATGCATTCCTCCACTTCAACCTTCCAACTTGAATTCTACTAATAATATCCCCATTTATTTCACCATCACTTTGGATAATAGGCCTGAAATATTTAAAATGTGTACTCTTATTAATGACTTGATTGTCCAAAACCACGATACCCTTACTAGATCTATTACTACTAAAATTACACTCCATGTATTCAGTTTTAGATCTACTCATACAATAACCTTTAGGCTCTAAGGTTAACCTCCATAATTCAAGTTTACATTATACTCCCTTTCTAGTCTTATCAACAAGAAGAATATCATTAACAATAAGCATACACTAGGGTATATCCTCTTGCAAATGTCTAGTAAGAATATTCATGACTAAAGTAAACATGGGTTTAAAGCTAATCCTTGATGTAATCTAACTGAAATTAGAAAATACTTGGTCAAACCATCTTGTGTTTGAACACAAGTAACAACTCTTGCATACATATCCTTAACGACTTGAATATAAAAATGATTAACTCATTTCTTTTCTAAAACTCTCCATAGCACTTCTCTTGGAACTTTGTCATAAGCTTTCTCTAAATCAATAAATATCATATCATCCTTATTCTCTCTATACTTCTCCATCAAACCTCTCAATAAATGTAAAGCTTCCATAGTAGACTTACCCGGCATGAATCCAAATTGATTTTGAGAAACATTAGTATCATGTCGTAACCTATGCTCAATAACTCTCTCCCAATGTTTTAAAATATGACACTTTAATTCCTCTATAATTCGCACACTATTGTGCATAACCTTTATTGTTGAAAATATGAATCAACACACTCATTAGGGCCGTCAAAAATTAACCCAACGCGTCAACATGACCTGGATCCGACCAAAAAATTTCAAGTTCAGGTTGACCTATTTAACAAACAGGTCAGATTTGGGTCTGAAATCCGACCTGTTTAATAAATGGGTCGTGTTCTGCTCAACTCACCAACCCGAAATTAACCCAATTTTAAGGATCAGAACGATTTACAGATTTGGTCGAAGCGCGTGGTATGTCGCCCGATTTACGAATTTTGTTGAAGAAATGTACAAAATTCGAAATCCTTCCGTTGGATTTCGTTTCGTTCATGACTTCATCGTTTGCGATTAGTGCCTCAACATGTGAAGAAGCGGGATTTGGTCGTTGAAGATTTACTGGATTTGACCGAAGAAGCAAGCTGCACGTGAAATGAAATTAACAGAAAAAAGGGTTTGCTGGTCGTGTCAGGTTGACCAGAGCCCGAACTGGATCGGGTTCTGGTTTGGGTCTGTGGCCTGTTTTTCTAATCAGGTCAAGTTCGGGTTGGGTCAAGTGATAGTGTGTCATTTTTTTGTTGGACCCAAATCTGATCCGAAAATCCATTGACACCCCTACTCCACTCATTTGGCATTTTTTAGTCTTCAAAATAACAAAAACCAGTCATATTGGAAAATCAACCAACATGCCAAACAAAACAATTAGAATAAAATTATCAATTTTATATAATATCATGATTCATTATTAAATTTTGAATCTTAATATCAAGACTTAAAAAATACTTTGTTTTCAACTCTCATATTCATAAAATTTAAACTTTCCTATAGAGAATTATCATGATAATCATACACCAAAATAGCCCCATTGATGGGGACATCAGAGCACTGAAAGTATATCAAAGACGTGGCTGCGATCTACGGCCACAATTGCGCCGATCTATTTTTGAGTCTTCATATGTTTTTGTTTTATTTATTTGCTTTATGTATTTGTTTTAGTAGCATTTCCCATTGTACCCTTACTTAAAGGTTTTGTCATATGTAAGCCCTAGGGGCTATGTCGTCTTTTATTTTCCCTTTCATTGTATGAGGCTATATATAGCCACTTTATGTTTCTTTTGGAGTTAATGAATGAATTATAATCAAATTCCTGCAAATTGAGTTCTTGTGAGAGCTTGAGAGTCTTTGGAGAGAGATCCCTAGAAGAGGGAAGCGGATCACCCACCAATCTTGGAAGAGTCCGGGTTCGTGGCTATTTTCTTCTTAGTTCTTCCTCCCCTTTCTCCCTCCCTTCCCTTTCACCCCACGGCCCATCCAAATCCCTCCATCGCCGACCATCCAAACCCCATCCTACCTCTTTGCCAAGCTCTCACCCCACCTTCCCCATCCTTCCTACTTGCTTACAACTCATTCCCCTATCCCCAAGCTACCCAAACTCCACCCAAACCCTAGCCTAGCTGTCGGCCTCTCCCTCCCCCCTTGCCTCCAAATTTTCAAATTCCTCATCATTACTTCCCTTTCTTATTTAGTCTCTTTTGGGAAAGCTTTTCAATTTCAATTATTCAAATCCAATTTGAAATTTGAAACATTTCCTAAAATATAATCCTATTTTAGGAAAGTTTCTAAAATCAAATCCAAATTAAATTTGAATTAGATTGGAGTTAAATCCTATTCCTTAATTTGAGAATCTCATTTAAGTAAGTAATAAAACCTTTGCTTATTCCCCCCAATCCCTCTCCCTATGCCACCGGCCCCCTCCTTGCCCCAATTGAATACCTTCCAAACTTCAAGCCTCTCTCTTTGGGAAGAATTCAAAGCCTCTCCCTCTCTCTTATCCGCCCCCCCCCCCTCTTCCAAATCACCCTTAAATCCTTTCCAAATTAAAGGATTAACTGGGAAAATAATTTCTTAATTTCCCCCATCTTTCCTCCTCTAAAATATGAACCTACTTTTCCCTCAAGCCACTTCCTTTGGTCGGCCACCGTCTCACCCTTTCTTCCACTTGGATTCTTGAGAGAAACTTCTTTCTCTCAAAGGGAATCCTTAAGGATAGCAAAGGACGTCTTCAATAACACTTCAACACTACAAAATTGATGCATGACCGATCCTGAACTTGACTCCGGCTTCGTCTACAACGAACAAGGCTTCGTCGACATCCTCTGGTCGCCTTTCTTCGACGTCAATTCAGAAGTAGACAATTCCGCCGAGTAGTACTTGGAGCGTATCATCTTCACCCTCTCCAAAGCCATCGAAGAGCAGCTCTCCACCGTTCAATGGAAAATCAAAGCCGGGCCTCGACGAGGGTGAACTTTTCCCCCTCTTCAATTTTCTTCCTAATCTTCTTCTATTGTAGGTGGTGCATCAAGCATAAGGAATCGTGCAAAGCTATCCGCCAAAGGTTAGTAAATGTAGGGCATGAGTTATGACTTTCTATGCATCTACTCTCATTGTTAATCTAGGGATGCTATTGAAAATCCCGTAAATTTGATTATGTTGAAATTCTAATTGTTTTGGTGATCTTAATTATTAACATGTGATTTGGCCTAAGCGGAATCGCCTCTCCTTTGTTTTCTATTATCGTTAAGTGGCTAACATTTTAATTCTTATTGCTCTTACTCAAAAGCGTGCAAATTCTTATTACAATCATTTAAATCATATATAGTCCTACATCACCCATCTCTTTAATTATTATTCTCTCTTACATTTTGATCTTATTGCATTTGCCATTTTTCATGTCACATGCAAATATGCTAAGCCTATTTTATTTTTTCCCTATAGATAGATTTAAAATATTGCATATTCTTTCGTATGCGCTACGAGCTTGCACAGTGGACTGATAATTACAAAAACTAGTTGAGAGATCAAACTAACAAAATATAGCATGCTATTTTATCGACGGGTGGTTTTATATGCAAATAACATAAGAGGTGCGCTTTGGTATGCTATGATCTATCATACAGACTATTTTGTGCTATTTACAAACATGCTCTATTCTATTATTTTAGTGCAAATAGAAGATGTCTTCAACATACATAACCTTTGTATAAGATTATGGATATGCATTTGTGACACTAGACAATCTAAACTACTGCAACAAAATATAATCCTAGCGAATTATCTAATGTGATGACCTAAATTAGTACCAAGATACCACTCATTTAAAATCTAGAATTTTAAAGATAAACATATAAAATTATCAAAAAGCTCTCCATGCACTGAGCAAGTCAACTCAAAGTAGGTTACTTTGGCTAACCCATACATGTTAATGGCACAAAATAGCGCATCATGACGCTTGGTGCGACATGGTGCAGCCCTTGGAATAATTTGTTTTGTGCGGTGTACATGCTCAAAATGGTGTGCGTTATTTGCGCTATGCAGGAGCAATAGCATACGGCGCGAAATACATATAGCGTGCTATTTTTAGGTTTTAAATTTAAAATTAATATTTCTGTGTATATTGTTAACTTTATTATATATTTTATAATTTAATAGTGTCGCCATTACACGTAAGTGTGCCTTAATTTCTAAAAAAGAGGGAATACAATATTTATGAAATATTTTTTGCATTTCATCTAATCAATTGATGCCACATTTGTGTTATTTGTTCTTTAGCTTTTTATACATTTTTTTTAAATAGTCTTCATGTTATTATATGAGAACCAACTGTTAATTGGATAATGTGAAAATGTTACCAAACACATCTCTTCTACATGCATTTTTCTCAATTTCTATAGAAAATATTTATTAAGCTTTTTAATTTTCTTATTGGATTTCTATTCACAAAACCAAAATTGGCCTTATTGTTTAGAGAATTTGCAGATAGTTTATGCACAGGATTCTGTGGTTTAGTTTCTCACTCAGGCTGTAAGTTCTTATATGGTTCATCATGATTGCCCAGATATAGACTTAAACATTGATAATGTTTTTGTAGTTAGTTTTAATCTCTTGAAGCTTAGGTAATATGTGTTTGTAGGTTATTAATTTTTATCCTGTCACTAGTGGTGAATGCGAATGCCTTTTTTGTTTAAGTCTGGTTAGGAGAGTGAGCTTGAGAAACTTTATCTAAGTTATGGGTTTTGCACAATGTTTGCATTGGTTTAGGCAACCATCTCCCAAACTTTATATGTCAAAAGCAGTCCATAGCAGCTTCTTTAATATTACGGTTATACAATTTTCTTCAATTAACTTACGTGGTGTTTAGTTGCTTTATAGAAAGCCAATGAAGAATGACGGAAAGCATGACAGTTTGATGATGGAGGGTATTGTTTTCTTTGTCAAAATTTGGTATGATGTATGGATTATTTGTAGAAGTGTTTGCAGTGACTAAAAAGAGCAGTTAGGTTAGGTTGAATTGAGTATTAGTATGCAACAGTTCGCTATAACTTCTTAGCTTTCCGTTGGAGATATGTGTATAATGTTTCTTATATTATTTGATCAATATCATAATTCATATTGAAATGTTTTCAGGTGATGGTAATTGACTACAAGCTTACGTACCCTAGTGGAACAGCCACAGCTTTGTTGATTAATAGCTTTCATACCAATGCTGGAGCTGAGCTTGCAGGGTAATGCTTGTGGCTTTAACACATAGTTATAGCAACTATTTCTGAATGTTTATATCAAAGTTGGGTCTTTAATTTATTTAATTAGGGGTTATTTGTTCGGCTGAAAAATGAATGCAGATTTAAAGGTATACATTGAAAAATAAATTTAGTGTGTTGATAGTACTTTTGAGCTGTTTGGTTTTGTACACCACAAATGCAAGGATTTGTTTTCATTGTGTTTGATTTGAATTAAAATTAATAGTCCACAAGTTGACAGCGATGGCGGTTGTAATCGGAGTTGGTTATTTTTGTGACTCAAATCTATGTTCTCTAGATTGGACAGCTTGACCATTTCTCAAGGCTCACCATTGTTATCCAATTAGATTTTCTTTCGACACTTCATGGTTGTATGATAGTTATTTAAAGGTTTTAGGACAGTTTCTTATAACACCCATAAATTTTCTTTTTTTATTGTCGATCCATGCTTCAACTTGTCTTGCAAAGATATTTCGCGAGCATATGAGAAGATACACCATCCAATAATGGAGCACATTATGCTGATTCTTATTTAGATGAAATTTGGTATTTGCATTTTTTTACAGGATTGAAATGCCTACGATTAAGCCTTCTATTATCATTCAGAGACATGGAAAATATTTAACTTGGCTTCAGTTGAAGCTTACCTTTTTCAAGTTATAGTTGGTTTTAACTTATTTTGTAATTCGTATGTTGAAAATTTTATTTTCTTTATAACGGCATTCTCATACTGGATAATATTTTTCAGGAAGCAAGTTCGTTGCCTTGGAAAATACCTCAGCCTAAGCTTCTTTTGGAGTTGCTTTAAGTGGTTCTTCAGTGGTGTCGGGGATTCCTGTGGTTTTGATAATTTTCCCACCTTGGGTCTCACAGCATTTAATAATACGTAATGTTTTTTTGGGTGGTCTACTTTCCATTTTAATTATACATGCAAGTATTAGTTGTGAAACCTTTCATTTCATTGGCATGCCTTAAATCAAGTCTTCAATAGAAACCTTCTTCAGGAGGCAAAAGATTAACCATGCAAGAAACAAGTTATATTTTTTCTCTTCGCTTGCTTGATAGCATTTCTTGTGCATCATACTGATCCTTAGGGGGGTTTTAAAACTCAGGGAATACTCATTTTATTTATTTGGCATTCCACATACCCAATCTCTTTAATCTTCAATTTATTTCATTTATAGGTAATATGTCATTCTTCTATGTTCTGTTCAACAACAGAACATAGAAGAATGACATATTACCACCTTGTTCCTTTCGTTTTGACAATTATCTTCAATGATTAAATTTATTGTATAAACCGAATTGTTGCATTGTTGTCTATTAATAGTAAATCGTGCTGCTTTTTATGCCCTGCAGGTTCTATTTTGATTTTAGTACAACATACATTGGATGTGGTCTTATTTGTCCGCACATAGTTAATTGTTCTGTTCTTCTTGGAGCCATATTATCTTGGGGATTTCTTTGGCCGTTTATTAGTAAGCGTGCAGGAGATTGGTATCCAGATAATCTTGAAAGCAATGATTTTAAAGGACTTTATGGTTACAAGGTATGTACAGATATATTTTTTGAAAAGTAGTTTGTTGCTTGTATTTGTTTTCCTAGTTCTTAACCTCTTATTAAAAAAGAAAAAAGAAAAAAACTCCTTATTGTCTTTTTATCCTTATATTTTTTTAATCATTGCTTGATCTTGGTTCACTTTGCTTGACTTGCATTTAGTTTTCTAACCTATTCTACTAGGATTTTCACTTACACTCCACATTAAAGCTATATTAATGCAGCTTTATTGCAAAAATGTCCTTATTGAGAGAGGGTCGAGGGAGCTGGGTTGCCTATTTGCACTATTAATTCATGGAAAAGTGATGCAATGCATGGACCTGAACCAGAATCATGAATAGATTTAAGTTTAGACTAAATCCAGTGATATAGTTGATAAATTTGTATTTTTATTTATTTTTTGAAATTTTTTTTTTGAATTAAGTGGGAATTATCTCTTTGGTCTCAAATTGTTATAGATTATCTTACTGCAAATGTGTAGTATCTTTTCCATATTGAAATGAAAATAGAAAAAAACAACAACATCAAGCCTTTGTCCCACTACGTGAGGTCGGCTGCATGAATCCTTTTTCGCCATTGTGTCAGGTTAAAAGTCAAATTCTCATTTAAATCTAATAAAGAAAGACCATTTATAATATTTTCTAAACAAGTCTTTTTAGGTCTACCTTTACCTTTCTTAACATTAGTCAAATCTAATACCTCAACTTTCCTAACCGGGTCATCAAAAGGCCTCCGTTTAATGTGACCAAACCATCAAAGGCGACTCTCTCTAATCTAAATCTGTCTAATGAGATTGGAGAAAATTTCATGTTCTACAAAAGTCCTATAGAGATATGCGTTGTGGTGAGGGAAATGTGGTCCAACAAAGACAATGCTTTGAAGATCTTTGAGGCCAGGCTAACCCTCTTTGATCGAAGATAAGGTAAACTCTCTTTACTGAATCTTTCAATATTCTAGCTTGAAATGGGTAATAACTTGATGTTCGTGAATAATTGAAGTTGAAATGTCTTGAAGAGCGTTAATAATTCAAAGAGCTTATGGGAAAAGACTACATTTACAAATTGCTGAAACCCTAAATAAAAATCTTGATGAAGTTTGAGGTGAAATTCTTAGCAACAAACCATTGCCGAGCCTTAGAGAAGCCTTATATAATGTTGTAAAAGAAGAGAATTATAAAAAAAGTGAAGTTAAGATATCCAAATATTACTCCAATCATTGAAGAGAAGTAGCATAGAAAATAAAAAAACTTCACTTTTGTTTTTATTATATTACGACTTTGCCTCCATCATGAATTAAATTGATTAAACTTGCCTTTTTTTGCAATGTAATTTTTGTATCTTTTCATTATTATTTTTTTTTCTATCAACAATTGGCGCAAATATATATTTTTGCTTAGTAATCTGTCATCCTAGTCTTTGGTTGTGTACAAGACAAATAAATGTTACACTTGATAATAAGACAATAACCCAATGAGGAAGGGAGCGAGCAAGGTGGGAGGGAGTTGATTCATAAAACTTGAACAACAACCCCTACCTATACGCATTGACTCAATAAACTTGAGCAATGGATCAATCCATTCTCTCTTGTTAGCTAACTTATGAAACTTAAACAATAGCCCAATGCATTTTAGTTACTTGCCTTGACTTCCTCCCTTCCACTCCTCTCAGCTTCTACGAAAGTTACAGCTGGTGAGCGAGCGAGCTTGGAGGGATGGATGGATGGATGGAGGGAGAGTTAGAGAGGAGTTAACTAACAAAATTTCAACTAAAGCATAATCTGAACTGATTTATAAGCTTGAAGATATGCATAATTATAAGAATGAACCAAATTGTTAAATGTGTAGTAACTTTGTAAGCCATTAGTGAAGTTAGGTATGAGATTTTAGAGGTTGGTTTTAGATGATCTCATGTTGGTAAATGCACATCATATTTCACCAACTCCATTAAATCTTCCATACATATTTCCATCTACATATTTATTTGTTATTTTGTGTATTTTGACTTGGAAAACCACCATTCATAATGGATATGTGGTCTTTGATGTCACTGTACTTTTACCTTATTATTACTTTAATTAGTTTTGAGATGTTTTTTTGATGAAATACCATTTGTGATTTGGGGAGTTATAAAAGATATTATAGAAGCTTGGCTAATAAATCATTTTATTTAAATCATAGAAGCAAGAAAATGCCTAATGATTGAAGGTGAAACATTTTAGCACCAGTCTTTAAGAACAAAGCAGATTTGATTGCAATAATTTTACACGAAATAAACTTATGTAGTATAATGAAATCATGGAGGGCGTGCATAGCCATAGAAAAATCATATTGAGAATGAAGAAATCAAAATTTTCATGTCTGAAAGATCTATTATGGATTCAATTTTTATTATAATATATATATATATATATAATGATGGAAGAAATTTCTTATTTGTCAATGAGGCTCTTAAGGATCCTATGGCCTTAATATGCATGCTTGCTACACTCTTTAGCTGGCTACAATATTTGTCACAATTATTTTGTAGGACCTGGCTTTGGGACCTGGCTGCATCAAAGCTACATTAGGGCAACATCATGCTGATAATACTAACTATATTGTAAATTTTTGCGAGATTTCGAGTCTAGTTTTGGGCATATGATTATTGTCCTCTCAAGTAAGACTTTTAGATATCTAATAATATTTATCATGTATTAGTTTTTATCTAAATATGAATTAGGTTAATTTGTTTGATTTGTTTGATTATTTTATTGCGTCTCATAAACTATAAATTGGGCCTTATGCACCTTTATTTGCATCAATAAAAACCTATTGAAATTCTTCTTTTAACACTTCTCCCTTGCTCGTGTACTCAAGAGCCTCAAAGAAGCATGTGAGCGCTCTTTTGTAGCAAGCTTTAAATTCCTTGGTGGTGAATCAACTTTTGGACATGGACAACTAGAAGCAATATTGTTCTTGAGATTCAGATTCAATATAAACATCTAGCGGCTGTCAAATGGAAGAATCATTGCCAATTTCGGAGGGTGTCATTCTTAGAAAAATGAAGGAAGAGCACATTTTGGAAGCAAAATAAATTTGTGCATTGACTACAATGATTATTTGACTCCTTAATTCAGCAGCTCCACTCTTAAACAAATTTAGAAAAATGAAAAAGAATATAATTCTCGTATATGATTTCTTGGGTAGATTGTATTGTGTAAATGCTAGGGATGTGGATTAATAATTCAATTCTAGAGTTAAGTTTGGTGGTTAAAATGGAGAAGTGTTTGAACATTGAAATTCAACAAGTGAAGATCATGTGGACATAAAAGGTAAAGAGTAGAAAGTTATAGTTGATTACATTGGATTTGATTATTGGGTAGCAATGAACTCATGTTTAGCCATGTTGAGTGAAGACAAAATGAAAAATTTAATATAGATTTGGAGTTATTATAAAGTATTGTGTAGAAATAATTATACTAAATGGATAGGAGCAACATCTATTCAGATAAGGTCTTGAATAATATATTTTTGTTAGTCTGAACATGTATTCAACCAAGAATTGAAGATATATGTGCAAGCTAATAGAATTAATGGGGATTAAGAAGAAAAATGGATAAGACTAAAAATAAGATGGATGGAAGCTGTGCGAGTGAATGTGGAAAATAGAGTTATGGTCTCATGTAGCTTGATAGAAATGAATGGAGGAACTTTCACAAAGCAGACTACAAATTCTTTAGTTTATGTTATTGATGGTGATGAAGAAGAAGACATTATTATCCATAATAGCCACGTGGAATTTTCACTGTAATGTTTTAAGGTTGATGAGATGAGCTCGTGTGGGTACGTAAAATAATATCTGAATAAAAAAGTTATACCCGACTCTTGTGTGTTGCAATGTATCTGTGCTTTGAGAGCTCCAAAGCCTCTCTTTCTAACTACTTTTATTAACCTTGTTTTGTTTGTGTCTAAAATAACCAACGATACATTTTCGGCAGGTTTTCATTGCTATCTCTCTTATACTTGGGGATGGTCTCTACAACTTGGTCAAAATAATTTACATAACCATCAAGGAAATGGTGAATGCACGATCACAACGTAATGCTCTTCCTCATGTTGCAAATCAAGGTATTGTCTTGCTTCTACCAGCCAAATATATTTCTAAGATATTTGTGCTGTTTATAGTTTTGCTGTGCTTATACTTTGCATCCTGATTGATAGTTCACATTATTTCTCAGTATTACTTCGTCCTTCTTACGTTACTCAGGTTTTGGTTATAGTGCTCTATGTAGAAGGGGTTGAATGTAGTATTCAATCAGCGTGAAAGGAGAATTCACAAAACAGAAACCCCCATTCTAGTAATCAATCAGAGTGAAAGGAGTAAAATTATTGGATCAGATCAGTAGTTATGATTTCTATCATTCTCTTTTAAGTTATTGAACATTTTTATTAACAATTACTTGTTTCAATTATATTCTTAAATATTTTTTTAGCTATAAATTTCTAAGTAGACTTTCTTAATTCCCCTACCAATTTAAGAAAGTCTAGATATGCATATTTAAAATCTCCATCCAGATCTTGCATTGTAGAACTGTCAGAATTTGCGTTTTACCTCACCATTTCTGATTAACTATTGGTCTCATTCAGAAGCTGAGAACCACAAGCTGTCAGAGGAGAAGCTCCGGAATGCAACCTTTGTCAAAGATAGCATCTCCTCTTGGTTTGCTGCCTCAGGCTACATCGCCCTGGCTGCTATATCCACTGCAACAATTCCCATTATTTTTCCTCAGTTGAGATGGTATCTAGTCCTTGCTTGCTATCTTGTTGCCCCAGCTCTCGCATTCTGCAACTCTTATGGCACTGGCCTCACCGACTGGAGTCTTTCCTCGACTTACGGCAAGATAGGCCTTTTCACCTTCTCCGCACTTGTAGGTTCTAATGGCGGCGTCCTTGCTGGCCTTGCTGCTTGTGGTGTCATGATGTCTATCGTCTCCACTGCTGCCGATCTAATGCAGGATTTCAAAACTGGTTATTTAACACTCTCGTCACCACGGTCAATGTTCGTTTCTCAGATCATAGGTACAGCCCTGGGCTGCATCATTGCACCGCTTACTTTTTGGCTTTACTGGTGCGCATTCGACATTGGGTCGCCTGATGGGATGTACAAGGCTCCTTACGCCGTTATATATCGTGAAATGGCCATTCTCGGGATCGAGGGCTTCTCTGCACTTCCGAAGCACTGTCTCGAGATCTGCTGCTTGTTTTTCGTTATGGCTATTGTGATAAACTTTCTAAGGGATATTACACCGGCGCATATATCTGCTTATATTCCAATTCCAATGGCTATGGCTGTGCCTTTCTATATCGGGGCTTATTTTGCGATAGATATGTTTGTTGGGACAGTTATTCTGTTTGTGTGGGAGAGGATGAACAAGGAGGAGGCTGATGACTTTGCTGGTGCAGTAGCTTCTGGGCTTATATGTGGTGATGGTATCTGGACTATCCCTTCAGCCATTCTATCCATCTTCAGAATTAATCCGCCAATTTGCATGTACTTTGGACCAGCTTCTTCCAGCTGATTTAGGTGTTGCCAAGTCTTCCAACGAGCTGGACCGAATTGATCCCTTACTTTTTTTAAAAGGTTAAAATAATCCGACATTATAAAAATATCAATTTGATCCCTTGATTTTTTAGATAAGAATCAAATTAATCATTTGTTGGATATAAGTTAGGTCCTTATTTAAAAAATTAAGGGATTAAAATAATATTTTTAAATAGTCAAGAATTATTTTAATCTTTTGTAATTAGTCAATGGATAATTTTGGTCCATCTCTCTCTCTCTCTCTATATATATATATAAACTTTCCTATGCTGGTATGGTGTAGACCAGTCGCAATGAGCCTTGTGAAGTATTACATGTTATCAAGAGTGATAAAATATGGCATAATGTTGTTATTACAAAAAAACGTTAATTGATCACTTTCTTTGGCTTCTGAATTGTTATTTCAAATTATATAGAAATGTCTATAGAGTTTTTCCTGTATGTTTTCTACTTTATTTGGCTTCTGAATTGGTATTCTAAATTATATAGAAATGTTTATAGAGTTTTTTTTGCCGAACATTTAGGGGAAAAATACCTGTAAGTTTTCCATGGCTTTTATTAAAAAAATGTGTAAGTGCTTAAGCTTACTTAAAGTCATGGAACTTTTACTGCTCTGATTCTGAATTTGCCCACCGGCAGCTGTAAATTTGATACTCATTCATCTACATCAACCCTGCTTAGCGTTACATGCCATCTTCTTCACCACTAATTTGATTAGCCAATTTTCAATTGTGTGTAGGCTATTATTCATAGTTTAGGTGATAAACATCACTTTCTTCTAATATGACTTAGCAGACTATACCTAATGAGCATCTTAATCTTCCTTTTAAAAGGATCATTTTTATTTATTTCTTTATACAGTTGAATAAGGATCTAAAATTGAATATATGTAGTGTAATTTTAACAATAATATATCTAATGAGAAGATTGTGATTTTAATCGATTAGTCATTAAAAAGAGTATATGTTTTAGGTATATTGGATTTATTGTTTAAAGTGACGGTGAAATTGATAGGGATATTATTCGTAGAATTCAAGTTATATGGTTGAAATAGAGGGATGCATTAGGCATGTTGGGTGATAAGAAAAGTACGTCTCAAATTTAAGGAAAACTTTATAATATAACAAGGAGATCTGTAATGATTTATGATGCATGAAGTTGGTTGTTAAAAAAGAAATATAAAATTTAATTAAGTGTTGCAGAGATAATGATGCATAGTTGGATGAGTGGTTTACACATAGAGTTAGCATTTGAAACAAGTATATACCAGAGCCCTACTAATGGTCCTGATCGAGTACCCATTGGGTACCCACGCTCTGTGCGGGATGGCTCGTCCACCCACCCCCACTAATAATTTTTTTTTCGGATGACGTACCCACCCAAACCCATGCGTTGTTCAACCTTAGACGTAAAAGAAATCCTGCAGAGAATTGAAATGTAGAAGACAATAATAGAATAAAATTATTTTCATATTCCCCAAATGCCTGTAATATAAAATACATGATTTTATATAATGATGCAGGGGACAAGTTGTTAGAGTTCAGCACAATATGTTATATGAAGCTTGCGGTGCATTGGAGTAACGTGTTAACAAGCCGCACAAGTCATTGTTCGATCGGTAGAACAATAGATCATTCACGTGAGCGGGCTTTAGACTGTTGTGCTTCTTAGTCAGTGTCTTGTCGGCATCTGAAAAGTTGTTCTCAGACATGGCATTTGCGGCCATAATGCATAAAATAGAGCGCGTGACGAGTGCCATGATCGGGAACGTCTTGATGCCCACGAGCCCCCAACACTTCAGAACGTCGAACTACCCGTCCTCGTCGCCGCACATCTTCTGTTCTTACAGGATGACCTTATGTACCATGTAGGCCGTGAACTCTAGGCCGGCTCTGACTTGCAAGCTGTTAGGTGCAATGTTGGTGGCCATCTCAGGCTCATCATCATCTTTAGGCAAGTTATCATAAATTGAGTAGCAGGCTGTGGTGTCTATCCATGCCTTCTTAGTCGGCGGTGGCCTTATGCCATTGTCATCTTCATCGATGACTGAGTTAAAGCCATGGCCACACTTGATCATGTATGCCTTCAACTTCTCCTTGGCCTCGTCAACCTGATCATCATTGATGTTCAACCCATGCAAACGCGTCTTCATGGCCGGGTCGAGCATCGTTGCAACGACATGGATGGGCTGGAGCACGAACTTCTCCTCAAAGATGGGCTGGATGATCTCCTTGAGGGTTTATCCACCATATTGAGTACCCACCCATAAGTCTATGAGTATACCCATATACACCCATATCCATTGGGTATGGGTGGGGACGTGGGTGGGTGTGGGTATGGTGCTCAATGCAGGGCTTTGGTATAGACGTGAAAAGGTTGGAGTAGCTCTAGTGATTGATACGATTAGAGAATCGTCTTAGATGGTTTGGTTACAAAAACTTTAACCTTCCGATGACCCGATTAAGAGAGTAGATGCATTAGATTTTATTTATGTTAAAGAAATGTAGATGTAGATCTGAAAAGACTCAGTTAGAAAGCACTAGAAAAGATTTTTTTATTAGATTTAAATGAGAATTTGACTTTTGATAGTTAATGGTGACAAAAGATTCACATGTTATTATTGTTGTATTTATATAGTTGATTGAATACACTAGATTATTATTGTAAATGCTTGACATATAAAAGGACAATATTAAATTATATTCTTGAACTTGTTTATTTATCCTTTAAGAAATCACTTTTTACTAGTTTAATAAAATGGTCATCTAATGACAACTTAATTTTTAAAATAATTACTTATTGCATATATCACTATATTAAGTTTGTGCGTTCACATGAGTTCAACATTTTACGTGGGCAGATAAAAATATGATTCATGTTGATACCTCATCAAAAAATATATTCGATCAAGCACGAATTTTAATATGAAGGTTGTAAAACCGCTTTTATGTAATAATATTAAATGCCGTCTCCACCGAATGACACCAAATATTTTGCAATGTGTTCAAATGTTTTTTGTTGCGTCCTAGAGTATTCGCAGTGGTAGAGAAATATAAAGTTTAATGTCTTAGTTTTGTACAAAGATTCAACACGTATACAAATAAAGAGAGAGCATGTAACATTCACAAGAGACATCAATATTTTTACATGGAAAACCCCTGAAAAGGTTGAAAACCACGAGGCCTAGCCCAGTTTGAATGAAACCACAATTATTTGCAGTCGATTACAAATGAGACACTTTCTTAGGAGGAAGGCCTTGACTTGATGTACATTATATGAAATATATGATGGGAATACAAAAAGTCATTGTTGACATGTTCGTTTGGTCGGAAGGACCGTAGTCGATGGGCGACGTAAGTCGGAAGGACCGTAGTCGGCGGGCGACGGAGGTCGGTAGCATCGTTGTCTAACGAAGGAGGTCAGAAGAATGGTGTCAGGTAGAAGTCCAGCAATGGATAGAAATCCAACATTATATAGATAGATGTCTGGCGAAAGTCCGACAACGGACAAAAGTCTGGTGTCGGGTTAAAATCTAGCGACGAGCGGAGGTCCGACGTCGGGTAGAAATCCGATGTTAGTCGTTGGCCGGGGAGAAATCCGACGTTAGATGCTAGTTGGGCAAAACTCCAGATTCACTTGAAGATCAGACAGAATTCCAGCATCACTTGGAGATCGGGCGAAGTTTTGGCGTCACTTGGAGATCGGGCAGAGTTTCGGCGTCACTTGGAGATCGAGTAGAGTTTCTACGTCACTTGAAAGTTGGGCGGAATTCCGGTGCCACTTGAAAGTCGGGCGGAACTTCGGCGTCACTTGAAAGTTGGGCGGAACTCCGGCGGTGGTCGAGAAGGAGTTTCTTCCCTCCTCTTCATCATCATCTTCTTCTTCTCCTCATGGGGTCATCTCTTAAGAGAAATAAGGTGTTATTTCTAGTTTTTTGAGGATGACATGACCCGTAAATAAGAGGATGATCAAGGGCAAATGTGGAGTGGTTTGGATGGACTGTCGATATTGAATCCCTTGATCGTGGACCGTTCGTCAGACATTTGAAGGTCTTAATGATATCGGAATTCGACGATCTTGGGCTCATTGGATTTGTCTAGTCGAGCTGCTCGATTCGACTATAAGCATGTCATGTTTGAAAAAACGTTTGTTAATCCAAATTGTGGTTTGAACCTTCTAACAAAGCTTCAGGTCTTCGATTTGGATCCATTTTGGCTCATATTGAGTTGACTTTGGTATCGTTGGGTTCGTATTTCCGAGACGCTCAGTTCGACTATAAGTTTACTGAAATTGGAGTTCATCTGATCTCATATTTAATTTTTGAATTTTCCAACCTAATTTTGCCTCGAGATTCGTTCTTGATCATGATAAAATTTTGATGATATATCAGTTTTGATGAAAGATAAATAATAATATGAAGTGACTGATTTATTTGTGAATATTAATAGCGCCATATGTTTAAGTAAATAGAGAATTTTAATATCCGATTAAGACTTCTACTTGATTTACATAATTAATCAATTTGACCAAAATTTTAAACATTTCGTCTAATGGCGTGGCTAATAATCTAATGGCCTTTCCGTAATATCCCCTTGACTCCGAGCCTTTTCTATGAAGTCTGAGCCGAAGTTGACCAAGGCGGACTCCCGCGATTCTAAGCTGAACATCTATCTCTTTCTCTCTCTCGCTACCTGAAGGGAACATCGGGAACTTCGCCAGAGATCGGAACCGTCGAGCTCCACTTACTTCGCCGGGAGCATGGGCTGCTTCTTTGCCAAACCGGCGGTGCTAGGCGATCTTTCACCTACACCCGTAACCAAGCCATCCAATAAACCCCGGAACGACGCTAGCTCGCCGGCGCGCCGCCGCAGTCCGATCCCGTGCCCGAGCCCTTCTACCCCGGCAACAGACCTAAATGAATGGCCCTCTTGGCTCTCCGCCGTCGCTGCAGACTCTCTCATCGGCTGGTCTCCCCGCTCCGCCAGCTCCTTCGAGAAGATCGGCAAGGTCTTGTTTACCTTTTCTCTCCTTATCGCCATTTTGTTCTGACGCCAATTAATAATCTCTGTTTCCAGATTGGGAAGGGCACTTACAGCAATGTTTTCAAAGCAAAAGATCGGCAAACGAATGAATTAGTGGCGCTTAAGAAGGTTCTCTCGGATACGACGAATTCCGAAAGTATACGATTCATGGCGCGGGAGATAGCTATTCTCCGCCGTCTGGAAAACCCTAACGTCGTCCCTCTCCGGGGTATAATCACCTCCCGCATCTCCTCCACCACATCTCCTTCCCTCTACCTAATCTTCGATTACATGGAGCACGACCTCGCCGGACTCGCCGCCTCACCTTCCGTCCATTTCTCCCTTCCCCAGGTCTCTCCTCACCCCGCTTCTTCCCCTATTTATATTAAATTTATGAATTCAACTCTGTCAATCATTCCGTCAAACAGATTAAGTGCTATATGAAACAACTTCTTACGGGCCTCGATCATTGCCACCGTCATGGAGTCCTTCACCGTGACCTCAAGGGATCTAATCTGCTAATCGACAATAAGGGGAATCTTAAGATTGCGGATTTTGGCCTGGCCAGCTTCTTCGATCCTAAAGGCAACGAACCGATGACAAGCAGGGTTGTGACTCTGTGGTACCGAGCTCCTGAACTTATACTCGGCGCGACCAACTACGGTGTCGGAATCGATCTATGGAGCGTAGGCTGTATCCTGGCGGAGCTCATCTCCGGAACGCCAATTCTCCCCGGTCGGACTGAGGTCGAGCAACTGCATAGGATTTTTAAGCTCTGTGGTTCGCCGACGGAGGATTACTGGAGGAATTACAAGTTTCCAAACGCCGCCAGCTATAGATCGAGGCATCAATACCAGAGCAGTATGAGGGAGACTTTAAAGGACTTTCCGTTGCCGGCGATCAGACTCATTGAAAAGCTCCTCTCCTTAGATCCGGCCGATCGAGGAACTGCTGCCGACGCCCTGAACAGTGAGGTATATTTATATAAGATTTTATCTTCTTGAATCCTGATCGATGCTTGTTACTTCAAAAAGCTTTCTGCGACCTAAGCCTATAAACCATTCGTTTTGATGCGCAGTTCTTCACCACGGAGCCATATGCTTGTGAGCCATCGAGCTTGCCGTGGTATCCCCCAACAAAGGAGATGGACACAAAGCTCAGAGACGAAAAAGCAAGAAAGTTAGTCTTATTTTCCTCTCTTTATTAATTAATTAATTTTTTTGAAAATATTGGTTGATTACATTATAAATAATATAATAGTTATAAAACTGGCAAAACATTCAACTAAATTATAAAAGTTTTCTAACCTGACAGAAAACTTGCAGTTGTAGCCCATAAGAACAATGGAATGAAAAACAAAATAAAACAAAAACTGAGGCATGGACCAACCACATTAAATGGGAAAATAAAGGGCTGAGGTAAAATAAAAGGACTGAGGAAGGACCAAATACAATAAATGGGAATCTTGTCGTTGTCTTTAGAAGTTGATTAAAAAAAATCTGAACTTTGCCAAAATTTGAGATTGAATTCTCTCTATGTTAAATATATATTATAGCACTAAACATCGCATTAAATGAAAAACATGTAAGCCACTTACAAATTCTCTAATTTATGAGGCTGTAAAGGAGGTAGGGGATTTTTCAAGCCTTAATAGACAACGATCGAGCGTGATGAATTTACTTTTATGAAGCCCGTAGTACTTTATGGAGTGCTATCCTCCATTAAATTGAGTATCATTCAGAACTTTTAATGTATAATAAGACTATTTAAGGAGATGGATAAGTTTGTAATAAATAGGTGTTCATCTGGGAGATTAAGGCCAACCGTGAGCTCAAATAAGCGACCAATCCCGATTGTTATTAACTAACCGACACGGTAAGATTTGGGTATGATCCTCAAATAAGCTGGAATATTTGTAAAAAACAATATATTTGTAATTTTGGGCTTTTGACAAATGGCCATCCAGAAATCTAATCCTGAGTTGACTTGACATTAATTTCTTCGTGTTGAGGACACCAAGAAAACACAACTCTCTTTGGCCTATTGGTTGAGAGCTTAGGCTTCCAGCTAAGAGGTCAAAGGTTCGAGTCTATGTGTATGCGTTGTGTGTGTGAGTTTGCCTTAAATGGCCTAAATGTCAAAAAAAAAAAAAAAAAAAAAGGACACCAAGAAAATAGTTATTGGAAGGGGTTCCGAGGAAGCGGACGTAGTGGTAGGAAAAGGAAGATAAATTAAATAGATATACTTATTCAATAAAAATGAAAAATAAAGTAGTAATGTTTCAATTTATTTATTTATATGTGCTTAAGAACAAATAGCCCTTTAATTATTACCTATCAAAATTTTAGTTTGGTTTCTTTGAGAGAACTGAAAAAAATGTTGGATTTGTGAGCAATGATTATTTTATAAACCTCATTTAAACTTCATATATTAAAGAAGGAAAAAGAAATCTTCACCATCTATTTTATATTTCTTTTTTTTTTTTCATTCATCTTTTTTTTTCTTTATTCCACTTATTACAAGAAAATATGCACATTAAAGTGCTCTTTGATTTGCTAAAAAATGAATGTAATATAAAAAAAATAGTGTTGAAGTAATGCATTGTATTTGAAATATTTTAAAGTTGTTTGGATGAGTATAAAATAAATGAGGGGAATTTTTTTTTTTTTTGAGGCGGCCGGCGGCGACAGGCAATGAAGTTTTAGTGTATTTAGAAATTGCCTAAATCAGAGAAATTTGTCAAATACACAAAAATTGAACTAGATGATAAATTTCAAATATATCAAAACTTTATACTGCATTTGGTACTTTAGGGTTTAGCAAACGCCAATATTCACTAAACCCTTGCATTTGGAATATTTTATACCCTTTTTAGTTCAAACCAAATAGCCCCTTAGGAAGTTAACATTATTAAATTAATTACTGTACACAATGGGTTCTATGGGAATGTTGAAGATGGTGGAAATTGATGGTGCTATCATGATATATTGTTTGTCAATAATTTAATATCTAATAATTAATTTGGGTGATAGATTGGCTAAATATGAATACTTTAATAAATGATTAATTTAATTTAATTAATTAGATGTTTGTTATTTCTTTGATGTTCGATTATGTCCTAAATTAAGCTAGGATAAACTTAGGCTTCGTTTGGGACGGCTTTTTTATTGCTTTCTAAAACTCCGTTTTAGTACAAAAATAAAAAAAAATTGTACTAAAACTTCGTTTTAGAAAGCAATAAAAAAACTGTCCCAAACGAAGCCTTAATGGTACAAATAATCATACGCTGAATAAGCTATGCTGATTAACTTAGAAGTCAAAAGCTTACGCAAAATAAGTTGATGGTTTGGATCTTGAAATTGAGTCCCCCATATTTTTTTCTTTTATAAGGTTAATGCCATCTAATTTCCTCAATTAGTCAGCACTTTTTTTTGTTTGTCACTATGCAAAACTATTTAACGTATATGCTTTAAATTTCTCAAATTGTTTGCGTCATTTCTCTATTTCCACAGACAAATAGAGGCCACTGTAAAACAAAGCAGCAGTAGCAATGCCCAGAAGAAGTCTAAAACTTTCCATGGCCGGCGAAGACGAGCGGTTCCTTCTGCATTCGCCAATGCAGAACTGACAGCTAATCTTGATGTATATTAACTATATCTAACACAAATTTATCAAAATCATTTGCTACATATAAATCTCACAAATTGGTTCTACATTGGCTTTGAGCCATTTACAGAGATTTAGGCGAATTGGGCATCCAAATCTGATCACGACTAGTGAGAAATTTCCGCCGCCGCACGAAGATGGAGCGGTCGGCGGCCTTTTGGACTCGTCGAAGAATTATAGCACGGCGTCCTTCACTGTAGCTGATTCTTCCCAGCTTGATTCTTATTCTTACTCTTTCTTTGAAAGTGAGATAGAGGGAGGTAAGCTGCAGCAGAAGCACAGTGGAGGGGGAGGGAGGAGAAGCACTGGAAGCAAAGCTTTGAAGCCTTCCTCCATTGGTCCAGTTGCAGAGGTAATAAACAAAGGTGGTAACTAAAATATGTTTTGGCCTCATTTGGTTGTTTGTATATATAAAATGTGTTTTGAAAATGAATTTTGTTTTTTTGTTTTTTTTTTGTTTTATGTATAGAAATAAAATCATTATATTAAGATTACTGTTTTATAGAAATAAATCATAAAATGTCGGCCTTCTAATGATCCATTTAGAAGAGTTTTGATGGGTTAGATTTGGCTTATATTAAAATCATAGATGTAGAAAAATATTATAAATTATTTTTTTATTAAATTTAAATGAGAATTTAACTCTTAAAGAATACAATGGAGAAGGATTCTTATAGCTGCGCTTAAAAGAAAGAGAAGTTTTGATATACAATTAAAAGAAGTAATACATATAGGACATAAATTTAAGAGTGTAAAAGAGTTTAGCCAAGTTCGAGTAATCATTGGGTTGAGCTGAAATTTAATTATTTGAGTAATTATTATGGTACAATGATTAAAAAAATCACTTAATCAGATATTCCATCAATATGCCAAATTTTTTTGCCCAAAAATTTCACTAAGAAATTTACTAATTTTCTACATATAAATATCTAATAATGCGCCGGAGGAACATTACAGTCCAGACTCCAGACATAAATCAAAATCACTTAATCCTTGTTAACAACACATACTATCTATTTTTAAATAAACTTTTTATGATGTAAAAATTATAGTACATTAAAAAATGAAGAATATTATAAGCAACATTCGGCTTCAAAGATTCCAATAAAGTTATTTCAAATGCAAACAACTCATTAATTTTTTAAATAATCGAGAAAAAAAACACACACACATATAATAACATTATAAGCAACATTCTTTTTTAACAAAAATTAGAGTTCACAAAAAGTGTGAACTATGAAAAGAAAATAAACAAACGAGACGCAAGAGAGCATAAACTCCAGTGTCTAAGGGGGGGATGCAGCTGAACCCAAGCAAGCAGAAAAGCAAATCAAGCATCAGCAGTTTTTTTAAGGATGTAAGCTCTAAACCTTAATACCATTTATTCATTTTAAACGATCGGACATAAAAATTGATTCCATATCATACTGAAATGTATATGCCATTCTTCAACTCTTTACACCGTTCATAATAAAACAGCTCATTCTTATATTAAAAGATTTCAACAGCTAGCTATCAGCTGTCTTTGTCAGCACCAATCAGAAACTAATCTGTGGCAAATGGAAAACCTCAAGCCTTTTCCCTCGCCAATTGACACAGAATTACGTCCGGACTCCGCACAGAATAATTTCACCCAATTTAGACAATCTACGTGAAGAGATCAATGAGCTACTTACACTTGGTTCCACTGCATGATCCAAAGACACGAATAATCCTAACATGATCTTCTCTGTTTTTGCAGTAGGACTCGAGAGAGCTGTCAATGACTCGGCCATTCTTAGTTAATTGAACACCATAAGCTTCCAACCTGCGCACGTCTCGTGGGATGGGGCTCTGCCAATCTCCATCCCACCAGGCTGGTGGGAGGAGCGGAGTTATGGTGCATTGGTGGGGCTGACGACGACAACTAAGTGGTCCCGCAAATCTATTCCAGACATGTCCCCATCCTATCTGTTTAGCCAGGCCATCTACAAGCAGCTTGCTCTGAAAGCTGCTGTAAAATACAAAGCTTGAATTCATTTGATGCTCTCCTGCCACGCCAAAGATTTATTAAGCAGAGGCAATCCAGGCTATTGCACAAGGTCTTAGTCAATAACAGAAGAGAATAACAGTAACAATGCTGACTAGCACTCTGAAGCAGGATTGAAGCTTGCTTTGAAGTTATTTTCAATCAATTAAATTAAGGGGAATTTATATATTTGTCACTAAATTTTTATATATTTACACGTCTTATATTTAAATTTTTATATTTACGTAGGTTAAATTAATTATTGTTTCGGCTTTAATCTCAATTGTGAGTTAAAATAGCTAAGTAGGGGGAAGTAAGGTCCAGTCATACCATGGTGGTTTGCTGTGGCTAATGCTGCAATGAGCTGAGCATATGTTGTCCCAACCCGGCGGTGGGCTCCAGAAACAACAGCATATTTGGCCCGTGAAGCAAGAAAGAAATCAACAAATGCAACCCATCTTGGTGCTGGTCCCCAGTCCCTGACTCTAAAATCTGTGGACTAAGGCAAAAGCAAAGTTAAATTGGAAAGCTCATGACAAGACTCAAGCCTGGATGGAACATATCTAATTTGGATGAATTGTTAAGCGCATAAAGAATAAATAATCTAATCTTTATTGCTGCGATCTTATAATTTCATCGACTAAGTGAGTAGAGGAGCTTTATTCCCCCTATTTACAGATGGGATAGAAATAAAATGCTGGAAACTAGGTGTAATAGTTGATGATCCACCATCCACTTTTGCTAACCATGTGATTATTTTTATCGACACCTAGGAAGCGTCCAAATTGTTACATTATTCTTTTGTTATTACAATATGAGTCAACATAACACCATAATCTTGTCTGTTGCATCTCCTCAATAACCTATCTTGAAGTTGGCAAAAAATCAGGGAACCCCGTCGTGATACCTAACTCAAAAGTCATCCTTTTTTTAGTACCGATCATGTTACATCTCCTGCTTCCCAATTCCTTTGGGGCTAAAGCATCAAGCTTAGATGTCTCCAATCATCTTCTCTACAATAAGAGCTGCCAAATAACTCTTCTCAACAGAATTAGGAGGTTCTGGATAGCCCCATGATTTCTGCTTTTATTCTTTTTGTAACCGACACTTGTCTGTTACTCTCTTTCCAACATTATCTACCTCTATTATTTTCATTTTTTGTAACTGGCAGTTATCCGTTTCTCTTCTTGGGTGGAGATTGAATGAATATTAGAAAATTATCATTGGCATGACTCTCTAAGAAAGAAAATATCAGAGTAAAAGAAAGAGAGATGCAGAAAGTGAGAGAGGAAGCGAGAATTCTTTCCAAGAAGAGAAAGAAGAAAATCATACAACCATAACAACTTTTTCAATAATATCATGTATATTCCTTTATCACACAATCACATAATACCTTTATCTTCTTTTACGAGAAGGTCATTCTCTAATCATAGGACAGACTGAGCCAAGATTATTCCTCCTAGCTTTGTGACCCATAGATGACATTAGGACCTATTCTTGTTAGCCTTATGACCCCTAGTTGGCACTGGGACCTCTCCTTATCTTCATGTGACCCATTGATGCCATAGGTGGCATTGAGGTTGACATCATTAGCTTTGTGATCCACTCAGCCTTGGATTTCTCCAAACTGTACTCACTGCACTCATAGGTCATCCCTTAACCTAGGCGAACTTAAGTGGCCAACCTAGGTTTGCTTAGATAACCTAGGTCCTAATGATCATTCAAATTAATTTAGATATACCCTAGGCCATTGTGGCCCAACTTGATCAAGGTAGGTTAAATTATTTTGAGCTTATGATCATCGGCCCATTAGAAGAACCATTAGGATCTTAGCATCTCTTAGGGCCTACATGCCCCAATTAAGTTACCTAGCCTGACCTAGTTTACCTTGGACCACTTTGTCATGTCCCGGGATCTATAGCGGAAGAATTTTCTTTTTTCTTTTCTTTATTATCTTTATCATTTCATTAACAATTAATATCATTTATTTACAATCAGATCAATCAGACATCCAAAGCTGCATAATTGCATTAAAGGAGATAAATAATATCAGAAAATATAACTCACATTTGTACTAATCAATATCTACATTCAAAGAAATAATTCTTCCAATTTAGAAAAAAGAAAAAAAAATCAATATCTACATTCAACTATTATAGTTCAAAATAATATATACAATAACCATATTGGCTACAAAATAATGCAAAAAAAAAAAAAAAAAAAAAAAAAAAAAAAAAAAAAAAAAAAAAAAAAAAAAAAACATGAAATAAACTATGCTAACATCACTACTACATATATAGCCTCAAGCTTCAAGTTCCTTATATATATATATATACTTTTAATATCTGTTACTATATTATACTACATATAATATTATAATGTGTATATAATATTATATATTATATTACATATAACAGAGAAATGGAGAGGGATCGGAGACAGGAAAGCCCGATCGGGAGGAAACCACGCACGGCGGCAGGGTGATGTGTCTTCGGCGGCGGCGGTTTAGGCTGGAGGTAGGTCCGGCGACGGGATCCCAGCGGAAGTCTGGCTGGAGGTGTTGGAGCAGGAGGCTTAGACGCCGGCGCGAGATAAGGAGCAGAGGCGTCTTCGTGTTTGAGTCACGTTTGAGCGGCTTAAGTCCGGTGTTTGAGTCGGAGATCACGTCGGTTTCGAGTTCAAAGAAGGAAGCACAGTCGGCGGTTTGGAGGAGATGCGGTCGGAGACGGTGTAGTTCGGTCGTCGACGGAGAGCTCTGTAAGTTTCCCGAAATCTTCTTTCTTCTTTGCTTGCGATTCTGAGAGCCTCTCTGTGCGTGTATGAGAGCGTGAGAGTACCGAATGAGAGGAGTTTTTTTGTTGTTTTGAGTCGTGAGTTTGCAGTTTCTGCTGAGAGGAGTGCGATCGTGGGCGACGTGGGTTGTTATTCGATCGTGGCTGAGGTGGAATGAGCGATTGGGTATGCATGCTGGGTCCGGTTCACTGCTTGCAGGTCAACATAGTATTAGTAACCGTATCAGTAATAAGTAATCGATAACAATGATCAGTGTTAGTATAGTAGCTAGTATTAATCTCAGAAACTCAATGTCCTTCATATTAATAGTACCAGTAATCGTTAATTAGTAACAAGGGTCAATACAGTACAATGTAAATTACAGTAGCGGTAACAGTAATGAGTAATCAATAACAACATTCAATATTCTATCATATATTCAGATGAAGGTATCTTGATCTTAATCTTGATCCTGTCTTTATGACTTCCAATCAATAGGTTCCTTATAACTCCCTTGAATCACATGAAAATTGCTCCGACTCCTTGTAACTCTCAATCAATCACCAGCTTCTTATCACTCTCGGTCAGTGACTCCTGAATTGGACCACGTAAATCTTGAGGATATCACATGAGGTTATCATATCATATATTTGATATCAAACAGTACATATTTTCTATCAGATCAATATCACATTTCCATTCTCATCAATCATACAAATATTACATTCCAGTTCATATCAATCATTTCGACACAACATACATTTCAGTTTATCACTTCAAATCACAATACATCGCTTTTCAACCCATTTTTAGTATACCTTTTTTCTAATCATTTTACATGGAAATTCCTATACACAAATTTAACTGGTGAAAATGCAATAAAATTATATTATATTATTCTAAATGATCAAATCTATAACATATCAAAAGTTACATGGTGAAAGCTAAAAAATCAAGAGATAATTAATTTTTGTCAGATTTAGGAGAGATAAAATTCGTAGCAATCAAAACCATAAAAGTATAAATAAGAGAATAGTTACTTATAAAGATTAGAACATTTTTCATTAAAGTAATGACACACAAAAATGCCCCGACCGACTTTCACTCTCCTCCCTCTCTCTTCCTTTTCTCCCCTCTTCATTCTTCTCCTTCTTTGCTAAATTTATGGTTTCGTCCGAGGCTTCAAATAAGGGCGAGAAGAACTTGCTATGACTAAGATTGCTAAATTTAGAATAGGAGAGAAAGCAGCAAAAAATTAAGGAGCAAAAGATTTTAGAGACAATTCAATTACCTTCAACTATGTTTAATATAAGAAGGCACTAGCTAAACTTTGTATTTATTGTCAATTTGGTGTTACAGGCATTCACTAAAAAAAAAAGAATAGAGAAATAGTAGAAAAGAGACAACAGATAGCTAGAGACAAAAGATAACTAAAGACAAAAAACCCTACACCTATCCCGTACGGCGAGAAGGTACGGCTCCGTCCCGAGCTAGTGATTTTAGGAAGCTTTGCTCGTTCGATCTCTAACTCCTTTGAGAGTGGTCCCCTTAATGTGTTGGCACAACGGTAACCTAGGGACTAGCAATTATCATATGGCAATTATGAGGAAATTGGGACATGGCGATGCACGCTTTGATCAGAGGGATATTGCTGAGGCATTAGATGTTGTCATCAATGCATAGTATCTCTCCTTGGAACAACCATGCAATGAAATGAATGGCCATATTAAAAGCTCATAGAGATCAAGATGGATCATGCCGAGGCTACGAGGGCTCTTGTGAGAATGGGGAGGAATACCTAAAGTCTAAGTCTAGGGAGGGTTCCCAAGAACGGGAAGGTAGCTTATTGAGAACTAGCAATCAAAGAGTAGATTTTCCCATATTTTGAAATGTTATAAAAAGTGAATGGTATCTCAAAATGTGATCCCACCTTTTGTTGCTTAACTCCTTATTACTTGTATATTTTGCTATGCCTGTCATGATAATAGGTGTTCTCGAGATAGAAAAGCATACCTAGGGGTCAACTGGATTTTATGGCCAAGAAAAGTCAAAGACATCATAAGGGGCTACATCTAGGGGTAGATGTGCTAGATGTTGTGGCCAAGGATAGGTAGAATACATTATTCGGGGTGATACCCAGTGGTTTCAAGGCTGCATCGCTTGCAAGGACAATAAGTCTTGAATTGGAGAAGTTCAACTATGAGCTCGTGTAAAAGACTCTCATCCTCATTGCATTGGTGACTGCAACGCCAATGGTGGTACCTTTCGTCCTTGGGGCTCCCTACAATCAGTTTGGTGACTTCGCATTGACAACTGAAAAATAGTTTTTTGTTTCTTTTCTTGTGAAATGTAAATTGGTATGGAATGCTATAGTTTGTACTGCTCTTCCCTCTCTTTTTTTTTCTTTTTTTTTTTTTAAATGAGGGAAGACTCATAGAGAGTCCCCATACATGTTTGTATCCCCTTGAACACTTTTTGCTTTATATTTTTGTAATGCAACATGCAACTCTTGAAGGGAGGTACAAGAGACGTCAACAAGGAAAAGGCCATCGATGAGGGAATTGAAAGCCTCGACAACCTTTGTTGGTGAAAAGATTGATAAGAGGTGAAAGAAGATGAAAAGCCATTGAATATGGTAATAGTCAGCTAGAGAAGGAAGAGATCACACCCACTACCGACAAGGTTGTATGGCCACTCTTCCTGAAAATTGACAAGAATGCTGCTAAT